GTCACGCTGAAATTTATGCCACATAAGGGATGAAAATTGGTTAGTTCTAGTTATTAAGGCGAATAGTTATTCCCTTCGATTTTTGCAAATAGCGTTTTATTACGCTAAGTGCGAATTTACATTTGCTCATGTAGACACATTTATTCGTACATATGCTTATCATTTAGCAATTATAGACTTACCTTTCTGCGCACACGATTGCATAAGCATCTAGTCGGGCTAATTAAATTTGCTGACATAATGCATGGCATTCCGCCGAGAAACGCACGCCTTTCTCACGTCTAAAGCTGGGCTTCGACAAGAGAATGCGTGAAATTAAAAAAATCAGTTTAAATAGAAGAATTAGCTCAAATAAGTGAATAATAACCCATATGAATGGAGTTTTCATAATAATCCTCGCACTATCTAACTCAAATATTTTTTTTATTAGGTTTTTGTTGCAAAAGAGCAAGCGAGTCAAAATATTTCAGGATTTTCCCATCATAAGGTATGATTTTCTATTTTGCGGTATCCCATAGGTTACAGGCTCGAAAAGGGCATTGTTGTGGTGTTGGATTGAGCATAATTTCGCAACTTGGTAGGAGCGTCAGGGCGACCTTGTCGAACCTACCTAGTCCTGTGTTCTATGTCATAATATTCGTGATTTCCAGCATTGGACCATTGGCTGGGTACATTCCCAAACATTTCGCCGGCATCGTAGTCGGCAGCATCAGTGAGAGGTGCCATTGTAAGCCTCTCACTAACGATGATGGCGAAACGTTTGTGAATGTACCAGGTCAATGGTACGTTCCTGCAAATCACGAATACTATTGCAGAGGTCAAGGGATTAGGCACGTTCTACAAGGTCGCCCTGACGCACGGAGTAAGTTGCGAGAACAAGGTCGAACCATTTATATAAAGCTAAAGGAGACTGCGAACGAACAGAAGGCCACACCATCATTGTCTTCACCTTCCTGTTACCAATGACGCGATTGCTTTCGGAAAAGCCGTTTCCTAAGGGTTTCTACGGAGCAAATATCTTCCAAGTCCACGTAAGTTAATTACCCCTTCTACTCCACATTCATGGCAAATTTGAATTTATCATCCACTTCCTTTATGAAGACCAGGAAATCGTCTAATTTTTCTTTTTTCTGCTATCACATTGCGAAGTGGTCATCCAAATATGGCATACTTACTGATTGTTGCTGAGGTGACATTTTGAAATTCTCCTCCAACTTGTCCATATAGATATTAACCAACAGAGGTGAGAGTGATGACCCCATAGGGAGACGAAATATTTGCTCATAGATGCGGCTGTGGAACTTCAACTATGTAGTTCTCAGTGTTAGGTTGATTAATTGTGTTAGAAACTCTTTATGGATTCGCTCAATCTCCAGGATGTATATCATCTTTGTCCAAGATCTTCAGTAGTACCGTGAGTACTTTTTCTTCTGTGATATTAGGGTACATGGACTGTATATCAAAGATCACCAAATGTTCGTTTTCTCTCAAACGGGTGCCTTTGATTCTTTGGTAAAATTCATATGAGTTCATCACTGTATTCAATAATCTATCATTCACTTTCTTTAATGTGAGGAAGATAAATTTCGCCAATCTATACATTGGTCTGTGTTTGCTTTTACCTTCGGCAAATCGTATATTACTGTATCCTTTCATAGGAGTGAGTTCATTGTCCATTTGTCGATTTATCCGTTCATATTCATTTACTTCAACATTTCTTGCGGTTGCCGTTTAATTTTAACAGTTGGGTCTTTTGATAGCCGTTTATAAGTTGTAGTGTCCCCAAGAATATATTGCATTTTCTCTGCATATTCATTCCTGTCCAGTAGCAATGTCGGGTCTCCTATGTCTCTCTATATATCTTGGTTATATTGTCCATATGAGCGGGTTTGTGATACGTCAAGATGGTGTGGCCTTCTATTTGGTCGCAGTCGCCTTTAGCTTTATTGTGTTGGTTCTACCTCGTTTCGCAAATTGGTCGGAATATCAGGGAAACCTTGTGAAACGTACCTAGTCTTGTGTCCTCTGCCATAGTACTCGTGATTTCTAGCATCGGAGCATCGACTCGGTACATTCCCAAAGATTTCGCCGGCTTTGT